TCCTCACCCCCGTTCCTGGCTCAGGTTACAGCTCATGTAGCTTCCTTCAAGGGAAGTCCCACATCCCCACTGCAACCCCCCTGCAACATTCCCCAGTCAAATCTGCCCTGCTCCCTGCTCCGTCACAGGGGGATAGATAGATAGATAGATAGATAGATAGATAGATAGATAGATAGATAGATGGGGTGTGGGGGATAGATAGATAGATAGATAGATAGATAGATAGATAGATAGAGGGGGTGTAGAGGGGGATGGAGGGCGGGGTGTGACTGTGGGCAGGGGGCTGGCTAGGCAGACGGATGGATGGCGGGAGGGAAGGTGTGTATGGGGATGGATGGAGGGGTAGAGGGGGATGGAGGGCGGGGTATGACTGTGGGCAGGGGCTGGCTAGGCAGACGATGGCCGGCCAGAGGGATGGGGCAGTCAGTACAATGGTTGGAGCAGCTGTGCGGCCGCGGCGGCCAGCGAGCCCCTGGTCTGTGTCTCCAGCCGCTGACCCAGTTTCCGCGGCCCAGGCGGGGGAGGCGGGCTCACAGATGAGCCAGCGAAGCTGCAGAGCCCGAGGCCAGCCCGAGTCCCTTCCTCCGTCACCGCAGGAGCTGGCAGCAAATCACGCCACTGGGGAGCCGGATGGGCAGGGCTGGGGAGCAATGGCAGCTTCCCCCCCCCCCACCCCACACGCACGGGTCTGGGCGAGGGCGAAGGCCAGAGCTGCCGGGGGCAGCCTGCCCTGCCCTGAGTGACCCCCACACTGGCTCGCCAGCCGCCGTGGGGATGGGGGGGGGATTTCACCCCAAGATGGAACTGAGCTCAACCCCCCCAGCTGGGGGAGGCGCCGGTCTAGAGCCCGGATGTATTCTGCGGGAGCTGAGTGCCCTCCCTGGGGGCAGGTTTTGCTAAGGGCTCAGTTCCTTGGGCCGTCGAGCGCTCAGAAAGCCTGGCCTGTGTGCTCGGTGACTCAGTTTCCCCCAGCTGCCTAAGGCCTGTCGATTGGGAGCTCCGTGGGGCAGGGCCCGGCTCTGACCGTGGGTCTCTGTGCAGCGCCCGGCGCCAGCGTCCGGCTGCTACCGTAGTGCACCAGGAACGTCAATGTCCTGCCCGGTCTGCTGGCTGAGCTCGGCCCCCCCCACGCGAGGCCAAGGGGCGTCAGCCGCCTGTCAGGTTCCCGTCCCCAGCCTTCCATCAGCCAGGCAGACGCGAGTGAGCTCCCGGAGATTCATTTCCCTGCCCGTTAAATGGAAGGTTGCAGGTTATTTCCCCAGGGCGCGTCACAGGTAAACAGCCATTAGGCCCCCGTTAAACTCAGCCAGCAGCTGCCCGCTCCTCCTTACCCCCCCCCCCAGCACCACATCCTGGGTCCTGACTCCCCACGGCGCTCGCAAACACCCCCACTGAGACACTGGCTTCAGCCAGCTCTGGGCCGGAGCCTTGGCTCGTGTGAACGGCCGTCGCTCCACCGATGGCCGGGAACGTCCTCCGATCCCGCGTCAAACCCTCCTTGGCTGCAGCACCTGCAGCGTAACTCGGGGGGCACCAAGCCCTGGCCAGCCGCGCTGCCCCAAATCACCTCAGTCCCTTGGGTCGGGTTCGTCCAGCCTAGGCCTGTGGCCTCCCCAGCTCACCCGCTCTGGCCACTTTGCACTGGTGCAAGGGATCGGGGGGGGGGCGTAGTTTTCCCTCCCCTGGCTGAAATTGGCCAACCTACCTATTGGGACCTGGACCCTTTCAGCTCGCCCGGGGCCTCTGGCTCGCTTAGATTGTTAGCGCCATGCACGTGGGACCAGCCGTGAGCCTGGGGAGTTCACGGCTTGCACGCTCAGTGCAAACGTGATCGTGCTCGCATGCGGCTTGGGCTGCTGCCCCCCACACACTGCCTGTGCCGGGGCAATGGGACCCAAGGGTTAGAACCGGCGATTCCCTGCAGCCGTCCCCACGGTGCAGCGTCTGCAGTGCCCTGGGGCGGGGGAGGAGGCACATGGGGGGTGACACAGGCAGTGGCCATTTGGGAAAGGACATGGGACCCCCCCCCCCTCCCGGTTTCAGTTTCCCGCCAGCACAAATAAATGCACCACGTCACCATGCTGACCAGCCCACAAGTTGCACCAGGTGTTTTTAAAAATTGGGCCGTAGGCAAAGGGACCCGGTACCGAGCGCCAACGGGGAGGCGGGGCCCGGCCTCCATGGGGGGGAGACCGGGGGGGGCAGGGGGAGCTATTCACACCTCTGTGCAGCGCCGGCCCCACTGGCCTACCCCTGCCTGGCGCCTCCCCACTAACCCCACTCTTGGTTCCTTGCAGCTGGGACAAGAAGAACAACCCAGAGCCGTGGAATAAACTGAGTCCAAACGACCAGTACAAGGTGAGTGCGGGCAGGGGGCTTGGGCGGGGGTGTCCGTGAGCTGGGCTGGCTCAGGGCAGTGGGGCTTGGAATACGGGGCCTTTCCCCTCTAGGGGGCACCAGCTCCCAGATGGGCCTGGGGGGGGCAGGGAGTGGGGCATGGGGCCTTTCCCCTCTAGGGGGCACCAGCTCCCAGCTGGGCCTGGCGGGGGCAGGGAGTGGGGCATGGGGCCTTTCCCCTCTAGGGGGCACCAGCTCTCAGATGGGCCTGGGGGGGGGCAGGGAGTGGGGCATGGGGCCTTTCCCCTCTAGGGGGCACCAGCTCTCAGATGGGCCTGGGGGGGGGCAGGGAGGGGGGCATGGGGCTTTTCCTCCGTTGATCACTCTGACTCCAAGTTACTCATGCACATGAAGTGGATGCAGTTTGAGGGTCCCTGTGAAATGAGTTTGGGGAACGGGGGTGGGGGGTGCTCTCAGCCCAGGCCCCATGATCCAGCGCTGGCGACGGGGGTGTGGGGCCCACAGCGTCCCCATGCTGAAGGCTGGAGGGGGGGCACCACCTCAATTCCTCACCCCCGGCTTCCTCCCCCCTCTGCAGTTCCTGGCGGTTTCCACCGACTACAAGAGCTTGAAGAAGGATCGGCCCGACTTCTGAGGCCACCATGGCGGGTCCGGGCGCCCCCGCCGGGCCTGGCCGCCCCCCGTGTCCCCTGCTTCCTGCTCAGGGCCCGTGTGGCTCCATCACGCTGCCTGAGGTGATGCTGCCTGGCCCTGGCCGCGCCCTGACGCCCAGGCGATGGGCACTACCCCCAGCACTGCAATAAAACCCCAATGCGCCACGTAACGCGGGAGCCGACTTTTCCTACCCGAGTAGCCCACGGTCAGCGTTTTCCAACCGCCTCGGGAATTCCCTGACCCCCCCGACCCCCATGTGCTGTGTTTCCTGTCTCCCACGCTGTGCTGGGGGGGGGGTGCCCCCCAGCACAGCACGGAGGTGTCCTGATGTCCCTGTTCCCATGGTCCAGGCCAGAGCCGGGCTGGGGAGGGAGCCCAGATGGGGGGGGGCAGCGTGAGAGTGGAGGGGGGCTTCTACTGAGGGGTGGGGCCAGGACATGACGGCGGCTTCCCCACCCCCTGGCAAGGAGCCTGGCTTGGTTTGGTGTGTATCTGTGTCTAAGTTTGTGGGTGTGCGTGGTGGTGTGGGGGGGGGCGGGCAGAAAGAAGCAGGGTAGCTGGGTGGGGGTTGTATGCACCCATATCGGTGTTTGGCTGTGTAGACATGGGCATGCACACTGCTGTGTGCGCAAGGTAGCGTGTGGCTCCCCCTGTTCTGGGCCCCCTCACTGCCCCCCCACCCAACCCCACACTCACTGCCCCGCCTGCCCCACACTGGCACTGCCAGGGCTGGCCTCCTCCATTCCCTGCAGCACCCACTGTCGCCTTCACCCCCTGGCACGGCTGGCACTGAGCAGCAGGGGGCCCTGTGGGACGCCACATTTGCAGGGGGAGCCAAAGGGGGCTGCCCCCCACCAAGCAGAGCCGCCTTCCCCCACCCCCGATACACGCAGGCCCCCTGGGGCGTGAACACCAGGTGATGGGTCGCCTCCATGCCTGTCACTATCCCATCCCCCAAGGGGGTCCCACCCCAGAGACACCCCCCATCCCCCAGGGACAGACCCTGCTGGGGAAAGGGTCCCCAGCCCCCCCCCCCTGTGCAGAGCAACTGCCGTGGGGCTCGCTGGGGCCCTGCTGACGGTTTGGTTTGGCACCGGCGGGGCAGAGGGTGGGTTGCTGGCGGCGAACACACAGCAGCCGTTGTGTGGCATGGGCCAGCGGGGACGTGCCACGGAGCAGGCAACTGGCCCCTGGCATCGCCAGCAACCGCAGCGCTCTGGAGGAGCCGCGAGGGCGGCCCGGGGGAGAGCGAGTGCCAGGCGGGCACTGAGCCAGGCTAAGCGTCCGGAGTAGGAGAAAAGAGGAAACGGCCAGCAGCGCGGCCCAGAGTAACAGAGGCCCAGCTCGGCCCCTCCAGCAGAGCTGGGGGCGGGGGAAGTCCCCAGGTCCCCCTCCATTGGGGTGAGGCGTCCCTCTGCAGCCCTGCCCGGGCCTGGGCCGATGGAGGGTGGCACGCGCCCCTTCCAGCCCCCAGCCTCAGATGCAAGGGGCCAGAGGACTGAGCCCCCCCCCACAGCGAGGGGCTTTAGGGAGCCAGACACAGCCCTGTTCCCCCCCCCCACTGCATGGGGCTCGCCACCCTCCACCCCACTGCTACTGGCCTGGTGCACCAGCCCACAGCCTGCCCAGGAGGGGGTTAAACTCCTCCAGGTCCCCCCGCCCCAATCTGAATCCTGCAGGGGGATTTTACTGGCTGGACCCAGGGGGAGGGGGTGTTAACAAAGAAACCTGCTGCAACCTGTGGGTGACCCCCCCGAACCCCCCCACGCATCCCGCAGCAAAATCCAATTGCACTTAACAAATCCAATTTGCTGCTGCTGCTAATAGCATTTGATGCCGGTTTAACGGATGGAGCCGGGCAGCAGGCAGGGCCGGGGGCCAGGTGTTCGCAGAAGTGCCTGTGG